CTGGCTTCCAAATCAGTCTGCAAGGACCATTAGAAACCCAAACAGAAGGAATATGTGACATGAGATTTAGTAAATCAGATCTCTCTCTCTCTCAGCACCACCCCCCCCCCCCTCTAAGCAAGATATCAATATGTAAATCCTAACTCACAAAACCCCGTCAGTAAAGGATACAAAACCAGCAACCCATCCGCCAGGTAAAGTGGAAGCTGCAGCGACCCGAGGGAAATCTCTACCAATAATCTTCTCTTTGATCCAACAATCCTTCCAGAAAGAGATCCACACTCCTCCGCCCGGGATGAAATACGCAAATTTCCAAAAAAGATCATCCTCCTTCACAATCTTTCTCCATAGGGAACACCCAACTCTACCGAATGTCTTTACTGGTTTCCAATCTGAAATAGGATTTGGAAATTTCAAATGACCAAGTTTCCCCCACCAAGCTTCCTTATCAACTGCGAACTTCCAAATCCACTTAGATAACAGGGCTGAATGCATACTTTGAAGATCAAGCACACCTAACCCACCTTCCTTCTTCAACGCCTTACAAAGCATCCAATTAACAAGATGTAATTTTTCCTTAGATTTATTAGTAATTCAAGTGAACAAACTTGCAATTTAGCCCAGACTGAGCCATCAGGTGAGCTGCTTCATTTGCTCATCTTCGTATATGTCGCCAAGAGTCATTTCCCAACTCCTTCACCATTCGTCGAATACTTCGACACACCATTCCCAATTCCATGTGAACTTCATCCGCTCTTTGTAAATTGTGAATCAAAGCCAGACAATCGAATTCTAGGATGGGGTCTTCTATTTGGAATTGCTTTGCTAGTTGTACGCCAAGTTCCATTGCCAGAGCTTCACCTATTTCAACATCAAGTTTTCCTTCAATCTTCCTCACAGTCGCTAGCTTGAAGCAGCCATTCTCCCCTCGAATCACCACACCCAAAACCATGGCGTCTGAAACAGCAAAGCTAGCGTCCGTGTTAATCTTTGTTCTCCCTATCTCTGGTTTTTGCTAGGCCGTTGTAGGGAGCTATGGTGGATCAAGCTGCTTCCTTTCTTGGTTGTTCTTGTAATCCTCCCATTAGTACCATGCTTGGATTACAATTTCATCTTCCGCTAGCTGTTTACCATTAAACAGGTGCGCATTTCGCTCTTTCCAAAGAAACCACATCAATACGCTCCACTGCTCCAAAGTATCCTCTTCAGCTTCGTCCATCACCTTCTTCAACCATTCAAAGCTGTTGTGGGCCGGAGTGTAGCCGAAACATGAGGCTAATGGTGAGGGTCTCCAAATGCGGCATGTCCATCCGCATTCTCCAAATAAATGGAGTTGTGTTTCGTGTAAATCACAAAATGGGCACTTATCTCTCGACGTTGGCTCTTGGCGCTAATATGGTCTCTCGTAGGTAGAACTTCCCTGGAAAATCTCCAAAGAAAGTGTTGTATCTTGGGTGCCACCTTTAAAGACCAAAGCCTCTTCCACATTGCCTCCTCACCGATCAAAGCAATTCCATGTTAAGCCTTGAAACCTTCAAGCCAAAAGTGATATACATCCTTTATCGAGTAATGGTCATCCTTGCTTCTATCCCATATGAAGTTATCGCTCTCCCCCATTCCACGAAGCGGTATTTGCACTATAGCTGACATAAGCTTGCCTGGGAAGCACTTCTCTAATAGGTCTGCATCTTATTGCTTTATGATTGAGTGGATGAGCTCGCTTACCTTTGCATCCATTAGTAGCCCCTACGGAGGTGAAGTGATGAAACTTTTCGGGTTGTTGGGAATCCACTTATCCCCCCATATACGAACTGAGTCACCATTACCAATCCTCCATCGGAGTCCACTAAGCAGAAACTCATGCGCCGACATCATGCTCTGCCAAATGAAGTTGGGTCTGTAACCCAGATGTGCATCTAAAGGGTCAAATTCTTGTGATACTTTGCTCTAAGGATTTGAGCGATGAGGGATTGTGGCCGTTGATAGAGACTCCCAAAGCTGTTTTTCTAATAGCGTCGTGTTGAACCCCTCAAGTCCCGAAACCCCATCCCACCTTCCATCTTAGAGCAAACCATCTCTTCCCTTCTCACCCAACTGACCTGCCTCTCAACACCCTTCTGACCCCACCAAAAAGTTGTGATTAGACTGTGTACTTCATCTAAAGTTCCTTCCGGAATGCGGAATACAGTCATAGCATACGATAACTGAGCTTGAGCCACAGATTTATCAGAACTTCTTTGGCCGCCACCAACATAACTCTTTCCTTCCAGCAGATTTAATACGATCCAGCAGTCATGCGAACAGCTCCTTTTATGAGCGACAAACCGTGGTGGCCAGCCCTAGATACTTTTCGTGCTTCGCCACGATGGGCATTCCCAACGTCCCACTAACCAGGAGCTTGTTATGTGCAGACACATTATCACTAAATGAAACTTTGGACTTTTGAAAACTTACCACCTGACCTGATTCTCGAGAGTAATCGTCCAAGATATTCTTCAAAACAATACTCTCATGTCGATTAGCTCGTGCATAGAAAATGCTATCATTGGCGAAGAATAAATGGGAGATAACCGGTGCTCCTGCCGCCAGTTGAAGACCATGGAGTCGGCCCTCTTGCACCGCTTTGCTTGTATAGGTCAAGAGGCTCTCAACGCACAAAAGAAAGAGGTATGGCGATAGAGGGTCTCCTTGTCATAGTCCACGTCCCGGTACGAATGAATCCGACTGATGTCCATTCACAGAAACTGAGTAAGTGACCGACCGAACACAAAGCATAATTCATTGCACCCATTGTTCGGCAAAGCCCATCATGTACATCACACCTTCAAGAAAATTTCATTCGATCCGATCGTAGGCCTTCGCCATGTCGATCTTTGTTGCGAAATAGCCCACCTTCCCCTTCTTCTTCATCGTGTGTAAACACTCGAACGCTGCCATAACATTATCATTAATAAAGTGTCGGGTACAAAAGCACTCTGCATCGGGGAGATCACTATGTCCAATAATCCTTTCATTCTGTTCGCCATCACCTTCGCCACAATCTTATACAAAATATTGCACAAACTTATCGGTCGAAACTCTATTAGCGAGACAGGAGATTTAACCTCTTAGTGGATTAATCTATTGTTGGAAAATTATAATTTAGTGTAATTTTTATAATCTACAACTTGGTACCTAAAAGAAGTTGAACTTCTTATACTCAAGTTGAAGCTTTGTCTCTATACACACTGTAAATTCTTTTGAAAAGGAAAACTGTTTTTCAGTGAACTAAAGGTACTTAGATTAGTTGAAGAGTCATTCCTTCTATAGAAATTTAGGGAAATTTGATTGAAAGAAGGAGATGCAAACACTGTGTACTTCCATAGGTATGTAAAAGTGAAACAAAAGAGAAACATGTTTTCTATCTTTGGTTGATGGTAATGGAAAGTGGTATCAGATACAGATGGAATGAATAGAATCGCAACTCATTTCTATGAGAGTTTGCTAGGCAAGGCAGATGAAGTATTGCAGCAAGAATCAATAGAGTTCTTCGAGGGGGCTGTTGTTGAAAAAACTCGATACTGTGAGACTAAATCTTCGGGAGAGGCTCGAAGACTCCCGCTCCACTACGGGCCACAGGAATGAATAACATTCTCTCAAAAGACGCGACATCGACAAGTTTATAAGTCCACTACCGCCTCCCAGAAGGCGTGGCATTGGCGAGACACAGAAGCGTCTTGAGTTCAAACTCTCAAGTCGTGGGGGCCACCCTCCCTAACACATAGCTAACGCCTAATAGTCAACCAACAACTTATGTTTTCACATGCACACAAGCTCGCGATCATCGTGCGATCCAACAAATCAACACATAAACTCACAGTTATCACCTACTAGTGCAAACATCAATGGGTTAATGGGGAAATCATATGATTTGAGAGTTCTAACTCAAGATATAAAAAATTAAGCAAGTGGCAAAGGCAATGGTCACGCAACTCACCCAAGGGACAAAAACACATCATCTAGACTCAAAAGTAAAGCAAATTAATACATATTAAAGCATTATGGTACTCCTTCCATTCTTACAAAATACAAGTAAAGGGATAACTGTTGGGATGCGATATTAATATGTCTAATGCAACAGAAAAAAAACTACGTAATCAATGTGTCCAAACCCACTACAAGGCGTCTCACTTCGGGCTCAAGCCTATCTGAAGCTGAGACTCCTATATAATGAGGCACAAGCCCTCCAAGCAAAGAGGATCCCTTACATTCCCACACTCTCTCATGGGGCCATGCCCCTCCCCCTCTCCATAGGTTCCTCACCTCCTGAAAAAATCAAAATAGGAGTCCGGATTGGAGCCCCTAACTACTGTTATCGGTCGAGGGTGCATCCTAAGTCAAAACATAACCCAAACGCATCGGTACTCAACTCAATCCAATCCAGTCAAAGCAAGTAAAACCTAGTGTTGACGTATTTTGGGTCGGTGCTGGTTTTACTTGCTTTGAAATTGGCGGGTTGTGTTTGAGTTTTGTCAAAATCCAACTCGCTTTCCACCCGACCCACACTCATAAAAGAAAACAATATCGTTTTTTATATTACCGGAACAATATGATTAATTTATTAATATTATTAGTCTTTATAACAATAAAAATCTAATAATATGGATGAATTGTGAGTGTTAGTAGTTATGGAGATATATTTATAGGAAATTTTTTGCAACATTTCGAAGTGGATGTTCGAAAAAAATAATGTATATTTATGTTTGTGAACTCATATGTATTCTTGCACCCGTGGGTACTGGTTGAGTTGACTTTTCAATCCTAAAATTTGATGAATATTTTACCAAATCTTTTTAATGGTGCACCTACTAAGTTGAATTTGAGTTTAGAGAAAAAACTATCCCTTTGCCATCCCTAATTACCACTATCCTCTCCCGGGATGAATTGAAGTAGAAATGAACATGGCTCCTGTAACTTGGTCTGGGCTTCACTTCGTTCGAAACGAACTGGAGAGTAGAGGGGACACAACTCCTTTCCCTTTGTCAGCTTCGACCGCGCCACTCGCAAAATTTAAATGTGCAGTTGTGCACCCATCTCCCGCGGGATTGTCGTCGGCCTCTCGTCTCGTTCGCGGTTGCCGTGAAGCCGGACAATTACGACGATGAGAATTCAATACTTCTCTCTTAACCATATTAGGAAGAAACTCCACTCCGCTTTGGACTGAAACCGAATGGAAGATGACAAAACTTGGACCCTTAAAGGGTGCAATTTACAGTTAAACAAAAGCAGTTTCCGTTGATACTTCTAATGTAAATTTGTGGGCAAAAAACATCAATCTAAGACAAAACTTAAACGTCCTCCTCCCATCGCTCTCTATTTATATTGTTCTGATTCTGGTAACGAGCAGAGAGCAGCCATGGAGGAGATCAGCTGGATCATAGTCGCCATCATCAGCTCCCTTGTATCTTCCCTAGCTCTCCTGGTCTGCAAAACCCACCTCTTCCCATCTCACAACAAGCTCCCACCAGGACCCTTCTCCATCCCAATCATCGGCACCTTGCTCTGGATGCTGAGGAGCAAAGGATTCTCCGACCTCGAACCAGCACTCAGGAAGCTCCGCGCCAAGTACCACTCCATCGTCACAATCCGCATCTTCTCACGTCCGTCCATCTTCATCTTCTCCCACTCCCTAGCCCATCAAGCCCTCATCCAGGATGGCGCGGTTTTCGCCGACAGACCACCTGCTCCACCTCTCACCATAATCACCTCTTCCAACCAGCACAACATCAGCGCTGCCTCCTACGGCCTCACATGGCGCCTTCTCCGCCGCAACCTCACTGCTCAAGTCCTCCACCCTTCCCGCGTCAGGTCCTTCTCCCGCGCCCGCTCATGGGTCCTCCACATCCTCCTCCGTCGCCTCCGGGACCACCAGAGCAGCCTGAGGCTGAAGGATCACCTCCACCACGCCATGTTTGGCCTGCTGGTGCTCATGAGCTTCGGTGACAAGCTGAATGAGGACCAGATCGAGGAGGTGGGACGAGTTCAGAGGAGCATGCTGCTGGGAATGCAGCGCTTTCAGATACTCAACCTCTGGCCGGGAATAACTAGATTCCTCCTCCGCCGCCAGTGGAAGGAATTTCATCAACTCCATCATGAGCAGCATCGGGTTTTTCTCCCTCTCATCAGAGCTAGGAGGGACAAAGTTGGAAAGGTGGAGGAGGAAGAACAAGCACTGAGCTGCTACGTGGATTCATTGCTTGAAGTGGAGCTACCAGATGCTGAAGACGGTGGCAACAAGAGAAATCTTACCGACGATGAGATTCTGAGCTTGTCCACCGAGTTCCTCAGCGCAGGGACTGACACAACCACCACAGCATTGGAGTGGGTCATGGCGAATTTGGTGAAGTACCCTGACGTTCAGGAGAAGCTGTTTCGGGAGATCGAAAGCATGGTGGAAGGAAGTGAGGAGGTTTTGGAGGAGGAGTTGGGGAAGATGAAGTACCTGAGGGCGGTGAGCTTGGAAGGATTGAGGAGACACCCGCCGGCCCATTTCGTGCTGCCTCATTCCGTGACGGAGGATACGGTGCTGGACGGCAAGTTTATGATCCCCAAGAATGCTGCTGTGAACTTCATGGTGGCAGAGATGGGGTGGGATCCTCAGGTTTGGGAGGATCCCATGGCGTTCAAGCCAGAGAGGTTTCTGGAAGGTGGTGAGTTCGATTTGACTGGAAGCAAGGAGATCAAGATGATGCCATTTGGTGCAGGAAGGAGGATGTGTCCTGGGTATGCCCTAGCCATGCTGCATCTCGAATACTTTGTGGCTAATCTTGTGTGGAACTTCAAGTGGGAAGCTGCTGGGGAGGTTGATCTGACGGAGAAGCCTGAGTTTACCGTTGTTATGAAGCACCCACTTGAAGTCAAGTTGTCCCCCAGGGTTAAAGCGTCTTCGCAGTAATGCTAACACCTTGCATAACAAATAATGAACTTGGATCAATAATCTTAAATGTGTCATGTGCTACAGAATTAACTATTTTGGCTGATGAGTTCTCAGATCCACAATGCACTACAATTCATTCATGAACAACCACATGATGATTCTAATCAACTGAATTATTGACAATCCCTTTATACTCTCGTGCATGTGGGACAGTAATGAATCCAAGTGTGCACTATAAAAGGAACGATAAGAATCTAAATAACTGATAAGGTTGTAGCACATACAGAGGTTGCTTAGGATTTTCGAGATTGGTGCATAAATTTTCATCTCCAGAGATCGATCCAACTATTTCATTTCTTCGAAGGGTTCCGTGTCAATAGTCATCTCATCGCCAATATCAGTCTCGACCTCGGCCATTATTTCATCCCCATCTGCTGCGGTGGGCTGCTGGACTCCATTTCGTTCCGGGTTAGATGGTTCCTGCTCGTTTGGACTTTCTTTGTCAGTTTCATCCTGCTTTTGAGGTGCTAGTGGACGCAGATCGGTACAAGCAGCCAACGTGGAGGTCACTAGTAAATTCTGCAGCGTAAGAGAGCTTTGCATAGTTACAATACAAGAAGCAAAGAACGAGCTGCATGCATACAACCATCAGGAGAAGCAAAAGCCAACTAACCTTTTCTAGAGCTAGAGTAAGCTTTGAGAGATTTGGGTATATGCTCTTTGCAGTCAACAGGATCTAAAAAAGAATGATATATTAACAACACCTCAGTCTGATCGCTGAAACAAGAAGCTAGGCAAGCATAGACAATGCACACCCTATATCAGTAAAATTGACAAAGAGATAGAGAATGTGCACGCAGGTCAGCCTAAGTATCAGCACTTGACAAGTTTTCAATGCCAGAAAAAAAAAACCACCTCGGTTTCTATATAATTATCTCAGAAAAGGAATCACCCTGCTTCTCACAGAACTTACACAACTACTCCACTAAGACCAGACTGGCTACATACAATGCGCTAGCTGACATTCAACAACAGATCTAACTAGATAGCAAACATATCTTCACATCAATTACTGAATACATAGGACCAAAGGGAATCTAGAGATGGAATCACCTCACACAGCCTTTGCAGGGTAAAGGGCGGACCTTCATCAAAACTAAGAAGAGTTGCACAATGAAGCAAAATGCGTTGTTGTTAAGCAATGGTTGAGATGGACAATAAAATGGAGCAGCAGCATAAATTACTATCAGCGCGTAGTCTATCGTATAAAATCCCTGTCCAATTTTTCAGCCAAGCTCAAGTCAAGTCACAGCTTCATCACATCCCACATCCCACACCACATCCCCAAAATCCCAAGGAGGTAAAACAATTCTCTTTTTTCACGTCTGATGGATTTATCATGATTACATTAACGATTTCATTATCATCTTTACAAGGACATCATGGTTATAATGGCCTCTCCCAGCCTAAGCCCAAACTCAATCATATGCCAGCACCTGACTCCATATTATTACCCGAGGGCAAGATGGCCTGCCATCACCTTCAAGACCAGTTTCCTAAACTACAGGTCACGAGCAGATAGAAAAGAGACAGCCAACTCAAACAACAAAGGCAAGCAAAGGAAATGGGGGTGCAGAAGCATACCATCATCCAGCCTTTTCATCAGCTCAGGGTAGGTTTCTCCTAACGAAGCTTTCTGCTCCTCACTGGTCATTTTCACCTCAGGATACTCGGACAAAACCTTCATGAAGGGGAGTGGTCACCATAAGAAAACCAAAGCTACTTAAAAATATCAGCAGTGGAATGATTTAACCCACCATTGGACAAGCGCTTAACTAAAAATATGAAAAGTTGAAACAAGTTTGCATACCTCCACATACCTGCTTCAGCTTAGAGGATAGCATAATCTTCAAGTCATCCCAGTTGTGCCTGCGAGAACACGAGATACAGTACCACTCAACACTGGTTTCCCCTCAAAACTACTACAACGGGTCAAGAAAAGGTAGCCAACTTTCAATCATGCATCAAAATCCATGTTAAGGTAGCCAACTGTTCAACTATTACTAGGAAAATAAGGGCAAGATTTTGCAACTGGGTATCTGTAAGGAAAACACTGTACAAAAGCTATATTACCTGGGGCTGCAAATGAGCCGAGCTGAGCCGAGTTTTACCCAAGCTTGAGCTTGACTCGTTAACAAATGAGCTGAGCTCGAGCCCGAGCCATTTATTAACGAGCCGAGTCGAGTCGAGTTCGAGCTAGGCTTGTTTACTAAATTCTCAGATCGTATTTAATACATTCATTTTGTATGTCGTGTATGGTACATGTGATTGATGTAGCGATAAAAAAATAATCAAATGTTCAACATTAATTAATCTTATATTATAATTTTTAGGTGTCATATTGTTTAGTTAATAAATTTTAACTAGTTCAAATCATGTTATTTCATAGTATCGAAACAATTTTGTATATAATTTCTTTGTAGAATTAAAAATAAGGCATATTTTCTTACATGTTCAACATGTTAAACTTCACATGATGTGAGATATATAATTTAACAATCCTTTGAATTATGAAAGTCCAAATTAGATCGATTAGTCCATAAGTCAGTGATCAAGTTGGCCCTCAAAACCACAATGTCGAGACATCTCATGAGCTCTAAATGAGCCAACTCACGAGTTGAGCTCAACAAGCCACCGAGTCGAGCTAGCTCGCGAGCTTCACGAGCTGAACAAAGCTAAGCTCAAGCTTGGCTCGTCAGTAAACGAATCGAGTTTCGAACGAGCTTTTCCCGATTCGAGCCTCGAGTTGCTCGCGAGTAGCTTGGCTCATTTGCAGCCCTAATATTACCAAGTGCGAGAGAATACCAGAATTTCCCAGTGGATGCAATAAGTTCCAGAAAAGCTCCAGCTTCTTTGTCAGGAGTCTCAGGCCCAGGTTCCTCCTCGCTGAAAACAAAGAGTAAAAATTCAATTAATTAGCACAGGAAGTCAGGAACAGTTTTTATGCGTGTGAGGTTTCCGCAAGCCAGATTCATCCACCAAATAAATGATGGTATAAAACAGCAGTACTCTCTGGTAGAAGGTTGCCCTACATAGAAGACGAGTTTGTGCCAATGGAGAACAAGGAGAAGGAGGTAATGGTGACGCCTAATGGTTATCAAACCTCAATTTCAGGAATCCCTTACTGATTCTTCAACTACAAATCACTGATTTCAGTTCTTCCCAAGAGTAAGATGCCAGAGAGAAAACTAATAATTGCCAAGTGGAAAATCACTACCGATGGCTATAGACTTTGGGAGCAGGAACAGGAGCTCGAGAGCTGCTATCGTGAACGGGTTCGGAGTCTTTATCGCCGGAGCCAGTGGAAGCATGGTCGGGAGAAGGCTCGGTCGTCGGCGGCATCGTTGGTCCGCTACTTCAGGGAGGGCAATGAACCAATGACCGACTAACCAGCTTAGAGAGAGTGTGTGTGGCGGGCGGCCTGGCGGGGAACTATACGCCCACTGTTTTGTTGCTCGATATTGGGCGCAGATTAGTCTAGTAGAACAACCAATTGCACGATGATTGAGCTCATGAGGTTACAATTGAATCCAAGTCATTCATTAAAAATTTTAACTAATTTAATCCATTTAAATTTAGATCATTTAATCTAAATCTTTTTTTATCGAAAAATTCAAATTCAATTGAATTTATGGATTTATGTATTGGATTCATGGATTATTGGAATATTATACTTTAATGTGTTTTTTTTTATTTAACAACTTGGTACCTAAATTTCAATTTTTAAATGAAAATATTCTTCAACATTACATTTTGAAACCTAAATTTTTCATAATGACATTTTACTATCTAAAATTTTTAACATTTAGATGTCACTTGTGTTCATAATACTAATTCATTTACAACCTTCAATTAGCTTACGTGTAACATAATGAAACGAAACCCACACATCCATATCGTCGGTACACAATTTTGGATTGGTAAGATTTTGATTTGTTATATCTTTTCTTTATTTTCTATTCTTTTTCGCATTAGATGCCCCTAGAAACGAGTAGAATGAGATATAAAGTGTTTAGATAAACGAATGAAACTAAGAACAAACTTCGAATCCGGTTCTTTATCGCCAACAAATGGACAACTCTATTATTATCACAGCCAAAAAATCTACCGTTAGCCGGTCACGAACTTTCTACAATACCACTGTGGCATCACTTGCAAATGACACCGGCAACATATACCTGACTCACACACCATACAACCGCATCCCATAAAGCCAACAACTTGACCTAAAATTGGTCATCCAACTCCTCATAAGCACAAGCAGCGAGTCACTTGATGAGTATACTGAAACTCAGCAACCAAGACAACTACATATCATATACCACACTGGACTGGAAGCAGCGGCGGATCCAGAAATTTAATTAAGGGTTTTCACCAAAAAATAAAAATAAATCTAAAAATAATTAAATAAATTTATCAAAAATTTTAATTCATCAATACATCGATTTATTGTTTTTCACATTGAACCCCGACGTGTTTCATATTTTGAGAAATTTCTATAGCACATTCATCATTTATGTTGCGGCTCACACATTTTTCAATGAAAATAACTACACAATCATTCATAAATTGATCCTCCATCCGATTTTGAAGATCATTATTGATGAATTTCAACTGAAAAGGTCATCTCAACACTTGTAGTTGCAATAAACAAAATCAACACTAAAGTCAGAAGCAATATACGAAAGAATAATAATAATTATCATTTCATGTCTCCATCATTTGCCTAGCTGCTCATTGATTCTTCACAAATCTAGGGTCCATAGCTCATGAGAAATATACCCCATCAATTGTTAAGATTAATAGGCTAATGAATTACTTTTGGATGCTTACATATTTTGCTTTGTATTCTTTCAACAATAATTAGATTGTGGCTTTAATGGAAAAATTGATTCGAACTAATTGTAAGAGTTGTCAAACTAGAGTGGGTGCAAATACTACCAAAAACAATATAATTTTTACAGCTTAGTTTGGTCCAACTTAATAAGTAAGGTTTGTCAACTTACAAGGCTTAAGAAAGAGTGGGTCCGCCCCTGATTGGAAGAAGCCATTGTATGGATTTTAGATAATTTAAACCGAGGTGACTTTTCTTCAGAATGGTAGAACGAGTTTTGGAGAGATGATTAGGGGGTTGGAGGGGGTGATTATGTCTATGCAGTTCAACAAGATAATATATGACACTTATGTAATATGTACTCTACTCAAAATAGTCAAACTGGTCACTCTTACTCATGGACGAGCTAATACATATCACATAAATGAACCTGTGTGTTCATTTACTTTATCGAAACTTTTATTATTTGCTCCATCATAACAAGTAGTATCGTACATGTGACCATTGGTTTTATTTGGATTTCTGAGATCAAATGATGGCTTTTTTATCAACATGAATGTTAAAAGGCTGGGTGGATAGTTTCGACATATGGCTGATTAAGATACAAACACAACTGAAACATCTAGATGTATGGGTGTCAATGTCTAGGAAACTGAAGAAAACAGGGATAGATGATGAAATTTGGAATAGTCCGGACGAGAATGTTCAGTCAACAATCGTGTTATGTTTGGTTGATGACATCATCACTGCTGTTGTTATATATAAAAGTAAAACAATCTTTTTGTATGTGTTTAAGGTTAAAAATCTGTACATGACAAAATCTCTAACCATCAAGTTACATTTGAAACAAATTTTGTTCAGCTTATGTGTAGAGGTAGGTACGCCTTTTATGGATCATCTTTAGCAACTCAAAATCATCTTGTTGAATATCAGAGTTCGAAAATCTATTAATGTCTTAACTAGCTAGTTTAGGCCAATGAGAATATTAGATCTGTTTGTGTAGCTAATATTACATGTTTTGCTAATGATCTCTCTCTTCCCACGAATTCATTAACCTACGTGTTTGAAATTTGAGGGCCCGTTTGGGAAGACTCTTACAACGACAACAAGGATGACGACCGGTTGTCAGCAACAAGAAGGAGTAGGGATGATAACACGTCAGATCGTGGACGAATAATAAGTGTTCCTTGCCTTATCCTAACTAGTCCAGATTTTCTTCATACTAATTTATATCATAAGGTTTCAGGTATTCATACCCATGTACATCTAATCTTTTTTTTTTTACATCTAGTTTTCTGAGTAAATTTGCATTACACAACCGAAATGGTTTCTGTGCTAATTAAGTCAACAATTAAAAACACGGATTTACTATAATGTTATATATGTACTACGTATATTAAATACGTTGTTGAGAGAGAGAATGAAATTTGATAATAAGAAAATACATATGAATGTATAGTTGGACGTGTTCGGACTAGATAGTAAAAATATGCATAATAGGTATATTCGAGTTAACATTTTGTCTATAAATCACCAAAAAAACCATTTAGTTCGTGTTTTGCGCTATTTAATTGGCTTAGATTTGAGTGGTTATCCATCTTGGTCTATATTTTTGTTGGTTAATTCGGAAGGCTATTAAGACGAGGAGGAGAAGTCATGCTATCACCGGCGAGGATCGAGTAACTAACATCTAACAACATACTCTTCTTCGTTTCAACTAGTTTGGTACCCGGCCCGTTGGCCGGATGCATTTCATCAACATTATTAATATTAGAATAGTTAATTAAAAAGTATATAATATAGAGCTTCCCGACACTCTAATCATTTTATCAAATGATAATTCGATTTATTCCTCTTTATCATAAATATACATATTTTTAAAAAATTTCTTTGTGATTGCTCCGCCATATCAACACCATCTCCACCAATAACAATGCCTTCATTTCCATCAATGAAACCAATATCTCCATCATCAACAGTCGGGATCCACTACCTCCACCATTACCATAATTTTTCTTATCCTTCTTCTGTATTTCATTGAAGGTAGAAGTTTGATGGTAAAATATTTGTGAATTCGAAATATCATATACATGCAAATAGAATTTACTCACCTAAATGATGAGCATTGTCCGATATTTGCTCTTTATCTCAATCTTTGAAACCTCTATCTCCATTCTCCACCATGAATACTCACTTCCTTATTCTGAACAATATTGTTACCTCCACCACCAAATCTATTAGTGGCTTACTGCCACCGTTTTCCAAACAACATTTGTCAAATAAATTTTTAAAATTTTCTTGACCAATAATCTTATTTTCTGTGGCACATTTATAAATATTCAATTTGCAATGTTTTTCAAGACATATGATTCAAATTACATATGTTGAGCATTTTGTATATTTAATATGCACATTGTCTTCTGAAATTAAATACACCAAAAATATATTGAATTGGATCTTATTATCTTAAAGAAGTTAAAAAGGACCATGAGAATAAAATAATTAAAATTTTAATTATTATCATGATCAACAACAACAAAAAAAAAACAAATGGAAAAAAGAAAAAAAAAGTAGGATATACAACATTGTAACAATGGTCCTTACAAAAATCTGATTACCAAATTCCTTATTCCAACCATCAATGATGGCTGATGAAAAATACCAAGCCAAAACTATTTGATTTCCTAGTAATTTCCAAGAAATCGTATCCCTTTTCGAATTTATGAATAGAGTAAGATAACATCTCATAAGTGCATCCTCGTTTTGTAGCCAATTCTATTTGCCTGGACTTAATTAAACATCCTAATCCATTAACAAAGGTCTATCATTCATTCACCTGAGACAAAATTTCTCAGTTAAGTACTATACTATATGGTTAATAGATTTTAGTTTGGACACCTATTGTGGAAGGTTCTCCATCTAGGTTGATATTTTTTTATCATTCTAAGTGAGCATTAGTAAAAAATTTCGTAGCTAATGATTATTCATTAAACATGAGTTACTTCTTAGAGAAAATTCTCGATTTTACTCAAAACGTTGTATCACTAACATAGAATTCTCATACTAATTTTTTTGATTTATCTAAGAATTTTCCAATCATTAAAATAACACCATAACCGTGTCTTCTCATGCCTTTGCACTTAGTTTTTACCCTAGGTTGTTAATTCATGTTTCCCAATCAAGTGAAACAATCTCTAATTTAATTTTTTTCTTAATAAGGATGAGATCAATCTATTAAGAGAATAATTAAAAAGTTTAGAAATAATTATAAAAAAGTGTACAAATAATACATGAGAAAATAACGGACGGACAACCTAAAATTTGGGTTGAAAACAAAACGGTATTTTATCCTCTACCAAATAGAAACACTAATAAGAGACATTGGTATCTGTTCAAACGATACATCTAACTATTTCCTTCTGAGCTAATTTTTTTTACCTCACGTCTATTTTGATAAGCACTCTTGATGTCTATTTTGAAAATGTTGTACATATTTTTTAGACAAATTGTTAAGGTACGTAATTCAAGACTAAAATTAGTTTCTTCCACACTTCTATTTTGATAAACACGCTTGATGTCTATAATATATTTTGACAAAGTTGTGCGTATTTTTTAGACAAATTGTAAAGGTACGTAATCGTTCACTAAAATTAATCTCTTTCATATACTCGACTCTAAAGTAACAAATTTCTCAAGGATCCATATCTCTTACCCTTAGTCCTTTGCTCGGATCTAAACTAATAAACGTCTCATCTCTCTATTATCTGATTATTAACTAATACGTGCTCAACCTTTGTCCTAAACCCTAACTGAGAGTTCCTGGTCAATTCGATATAGACGAATATCATATGTCTCATCAATTTCATGCATATTGTTCGCATGAATAATCTTTTGCATACCATATTGTTCCGTGAGACTACAAAAATTATCATTAATAGTCAAGTCCGAGTAGTATACAAATATTAAGAAAAATTCATATAAATCAATTTTACGTGTTCAAATGAAAATCTAAATTATACCTGCGAGTTTTGACCAGTCTTATATTGGTGTAATACACATTGAATATTTAATTTATTTTTATTTTGTTTAGAACAAAGATATACGTTCACCATTTATTATCAATTAAATCATGAATGTTATTCCATTAAATTTTCCATTACTGTTGCATAAATCAAGATTATTTCATTAGTAAAAACAATTTTCTTATTTGGCCCGAAAATGTATTCCTTAATTATTGGGGAAGGGGGAAAGCTACTAATGGGAGTGACTATAGTGTTGTCAAATTAATTGATTTCTAGTTGCTATGGACCAAGCCCACAACATGCCATGACAACACCCTAACCTATTTTTGTTGATTCCAGTTAAGATAGAGAAGTTTGCAACACCGAAATATATGAGATGTGGAAAAAACCAAGTAATCCTTCCTACTTGTGCGGAGAAGCCTGGAAAGTCAGACGGAGAGGGTGTTGGCGAAGAGCGTCTATAAATTATTGGGTAGATGTATGAATTTGGAGAGAAGTGGGGGTCTGGTTTATTTTGTGCGAAAGATATTGGACAATATTAGTAGGATCAACATTAATACAATTACTATTAGTATATGAGTATGGCCATTTTTTCATGTATATGCTTTTGTCTTATACAAAGAGCATGTTTCCTTATTGCTAATTTTGTCAATGGTTAATTAATTTTCTTAAGCTCTAACATATGTGCATCGATTTCTGAAATGTAAAATGAAGAATAATATTTTTATTAAGATCAATCATCATAAAGATATTATAATTAATTTATAATTCATCAACATTCATACTATTAGAAAAGTTTTATGCACGTCGGATAGAGACTGATTAGAAACGACCACACCTTTTGGTAGTATAAAAACAACTCTCTTTTCCCCTGAACAACACTTGTCATGGACACACATTAAATTGCTTGATGTATATAATTATGCTAATAAAAGTATTGTTCTTACATTCACTTTTGAACGGTTGAAGTGAAATATTATTTAGTTGTTTGGATGACTCTCCATGTGAAATATTTCTTTGAGGCATACAACTACAAAAGAGGAGCCACAAAAAATTATTGTAATAATGTGACGTAGTATATAAATGCTAATGTAATTGCTAGAAACATTAGAATTCACATGTTGTAGACTACGTTTAGAATATAATGGTAAAAAAACAAAAAATTATATACTTATTCATGTTTTGATAACTTGCACTACTGGTTTAGACCGATTTCCTTGATACTAAATAACAATACCAATGATTAAAAATATGGGGCTTCTCCTTGGCTTTCACAATTCAATCACGCTATATTTCTTTGTTTTATAAGCACATCGCACCCTAAATGAAAAAAAGTACCAAAGCTAAAAGAGAAGGAAGCAAACATACCTTATTGGAACTGGACAAATTCCATCCAACTCACATTCATGTGGAATTACGGGCCCAATTAAAGCCCTTTCCGCCCATCCACTTGACTGATAATGTTTTACTTACGTACTACTCCGTGCTCTGCGCAGAAGGCAGGGAAATTATTATTATTATTAATTAATTTATAAAAGCCAACGTTAGGTGTTACTACATGTTAGTGGCTCTTACACTCCTCCTTGTAAGTGGGGCAAGTTTCAACTTCCATTTTTTACCCCACTCTCTCATTCTACAACCTTTGTGTTCAATTATTGTCCGTTGGGTCTACATCTATTGTCCATAAGGTTTCATCTATTGTTCATTGTGTTCCCTATTGCAACAATTATCTATTACGTTTTCATCTATGATCTTTCGCCCAAATCATCGCCTTGCCCCACCAATTCGCAACTCATCTCGAAACACTATCGACGAAATCATAAGTTGTCCTCTTCCACCATTTGGCAGGACCGCTACCAAAGACCCATACCATATCTCGAAATACTTTCGGTGGAATCCTAGGCTGTACTCATCCACCGTGTCACAATACCGCTACCGAATATCCATACCAACATGCTCTATGTTGTCGAGTTTTGTATCGGACCGAGTTTTATATTCTTTAGTGTTTTCTTATTTCTCTTTTTCTTTTAGTTAAACATGACAATTGAACTCAAACTCATGGGTATCCAACTTAATTCTACCAGGTCAAAGCGAATTGAACCCGTCTTTAGTAATTTTAAATGTCTACTTTTCTTTTCGTTGAGAATGACAATTAAATCCAAACCTGGTATTGAAGAGTTTTGTATCGAGAGTGAGTTTTGTCCGCTTTTGTAGTTGGCATCTTGGGTCGATTGTGAATTTGTTAAAATCTCGATTCGACCCGGTCAAAGCGAGGTGAACACGGTGTTGACGAATTTTGGACCGAGAGCGAGATTTGTCTTTTTAATGTTATTTTATTTTTCTTTTTTGTTGAGAATGACAATTGAAGCAAGACTCGGTGCTGACGAGTTTTGTATCGATAGCAAATATCTGCTTTTAGACTTGGCATGTTGACTGTGAATTGTTACGAACTCGGTTCGAACTAATGAAGGCGAGTTGAACTTGGTGTGTAGAGTTTTTTGTGGGGAATGAATTTTATCCGCTTTAGTGTTTTTTATTTATCCTTTTCCTTTTGGTTGAGAACCCAAACCTATGGGTATCCAACCTAATTTAACTTGATAAAAATGACTTGAACCCGATGTTTACAAGCTTTCAGGAATGAGTGAGTTTTATTCGCATGTGTAATTGGTGGGTCGAGTCGGTTGTGAATTTGTTACATACTCGGTTCAACCAGATCATAGAGAGTTGAACATGATGTTGTCGAGTTTTGGATCGTGAGCGAGTTTTATCCACTTTAGTGTTTGTTAATTTCTCGGGCGGGTGTGAGTTTTATATTTTTTTTTAATTGTCTGGTCACAGATTGTGAATTTGTTACAAACTCGGTTCAACCCGATCAAAGAGAGTTGAAAATGATGGTGCCGAGTTTTGGGTCTTGAGCGAGTATGTCTCGTTTTCTTTTTGGTTGAGAATGAACTTGAAAAGAAAAAAACAAAGTAAAAAGAATATAAACTAATCAATAGTGTTACGAGAGAAGATTTAACATACAAATCATTTGTTCGACGACCCTTCTCGCTTATTAAAGGTCATCGCTGCGTCGACTACATGAAATTGTAGTTAACAAGCCCTTTATTTTTGGATCCAAATTCAAACTATTAATCTTTAAAATGTCATATTCTCGCTCACACACGAAGTGATAGCGAGCGGGCTTATACCGTTTCTAGTTACTAGAGGAGAACCTCCATAGTAGTTTTAGGATCTCCCCACCCCCACCCCCAGGGGCGGACCTAGGTCTATGGAAGGGGTGTCGTCCGACACCCCTCCGCCCGAAAATTTTGTGAAGGACCTATATTTTTTCGGTACAAAAAATTTTAATTTGAGACTTCCGACACCGCTCCAATAAGTATAAGCGACTCACCTTCATTATATGATAATAGTTTTAGTGTTATAAAGTTATTCATCATAATTAGTCATTAACAATAATAAGTAAAATCAAATAAGCATGATTGTTTTAAGTAACCCACAACCCAATTTAACTTGTCAATTTGTAGTTAATAGGTGAAATGGGTAGATTTATGGGAGATTGTGGTTTGATTTTGGTTAATTTGGTAGAACTAGAGGGAAAATGTTAATGATATTACTTTAGGCATACTTTGTTTTGTCTAAAATTGCCCATTGGTAGATCGTGGTTTACTATATTTGATTATAAACTATTTTATTTTAAGGTTTATTTTAGACGTGAGTCGATTCCCTTTGGTTGAGTGACTAATTTATGAATGATTATGTAGTTGTGTATATCGAAAAATGTTTGATTTGCAATATAAGCGATGAATGTATTTTAAAAAAAATTCAGGATATGAAAAATCGTCATAATTCGTAGTAAACACGACGTTGTTAACTTATAAAAGAATTTTCAGTAATTTCTATTAAACTTTTATTTTTATTTAATTATTTTATTTATTATAATTTTTTATCGGCGACACCCCTCTTCAACGATCCTGGGTCCGCCACTGCCCACCCCCACCCCCAACAAGAATGGTTATTTATATTCAGATAACATTCTTTTTACGGAGAAAGTATCTGCAACGAAATGCAGAAGAACCAGTTTGGACTCGGTGGTCGGAAAGGGAAGGTAAGAACAGGGGAAGGGGCGATTCCGGGGAGGAATTTGCGGGTGACGAAGGGAAGGTACACCTGTCGCCACCTAAGTAGAAAGAAAAGCCAGAACGAAACAAATGAGTACCAATTTCTAAATTATAGCTTCCCCCTCCTCCAGGTTGTTGTCTGTTGTTCTTCCACGACCTAGCTAGATCCTCCCTTTTGTTGCTTACTCGTCTCCCAGTCGGTTGCGCCATGGCGGACGGCTATAAGCCTGTAACTCAAGGCAGGGCTCTAGGGTTGACTTACTGGCCGGCCGGAAACGGTATTTGTCGTCAGCTAGGTCCGCCACGTCAGGGTCGACTCAGATCATCGTAGTTTCTACCAACCCTTATTCGCCTTATCCATTTTTTTATATCTCGTTCATTCATCACTTTCTCTCTTTCTCTACCAAGACCCGGACAAAAACAGCCAACAAAAACCCCACCGAACGTCACGTAAACAAGATCTCCATCCCCAATTCTCCTCTTCTCCTTCTCCTTCTTCTCCCTTCCCTCCACCAAACCCAAATTCTGCACAGTGGGGTTTGATAGATAATTCCCATCAAATTTCGTTCCCACCTGCATTTCCGACTTCATCTCTGTTTCTCTCGCTCTCTCTCTGCATCTTGGTGTTTCTTTCGATTGGGATTTATTTTATTTCCCAAAACTCTAATCCGCATCCTTTGCCCTGTGGCGCATCGGTGTATCCTGAACCCGCATCATCAATCGACTGCCCATATCCTCACGATGCCTTCCCTCCTCACAGGTTCACTCCCGATCCCCAATTCAATAGATTTCTCTTCTTCCATCTCTGTCTTCCTGTTTGTTTTTCTTCTGTTATTCCGTTCTTAATTACATTGCCTTTGATGGGCGTTTGTTGTGGCCGCAAGATTCATTCTATCCATTAAATCACATTCCCATGTTCATAATTTTGGTGCAAATGATTCTTGATTTGGTTGGTTCATGGTTGTGCAGCAGGCACCGCCATCGTGCTCATGGGCGTCTCCGGTGCCGGGAAAAGGTGCCGCCTTTGCGCATGCCCATCCTTTTTTGGTGCTTAATGCCAATTTTTCTCTGTTTACAGCTGTTACAAATCGCAAAAAACGTCTGATCAAGATTGCTGTTCAAATATGTTTTGGTGCGTGCAGTACCATTGGAGAACTGCTGGCGACAGAATTAAACTGCAGCTTTCTTGACGCCGATGACTTCCACCCTCATTCCAACAAAGGTAAAAATCAAACCATTTGCTCCAGTTCGCTACCTACCTAATATTTCTGCATAACAATATAAGCAATTGAATCGTGTAACGTTACAGAGAAGATGAGGCAGGGCATTCCCCTGACCCACGAAGACAGAATCCCCTGGCTCAATCTCCTGAGGGACAAACTCCGGCACCACCTCATCTCCGGCAACACAGTAATCCTCGGTTGCTCTTCCCTACGGAAGTCTTACAGAGACATCCTCCGATCCGCCGACCCCCACCCGCCGCCGTCCACCTGTTGCTGCCATTTCGTGCTGCTGGATGCCAGCGTCGACTTGCTCGCCCGCCGCCTCGCCGAGAGAGCTAAACAGGGGACTCACTTCATGCCTCCGACTCTGCTGCGGTCCCAGCTGGATTTGCTCCAGATTGACGACCCTTCAGAACAAATTCTCCGGGTCGATGCTTCCCTTCCTCCTCCCGCCATTGTCTCAAATATCATATCCTCCTTCGTGATTTCCAGCCGCAGCCCCAGAGAGCCATCATGCCGGCCAGATTTCACACAGCACAGTAGCACCACCACCGCCCCCATTCAATAGCAGCTAGCTCGTGTTTGTCGATGTCGTAAGAAATGCAGGAGCAGGGGAAAACGGTGTAAAAAGCAGGGCGTTAAGTGCAAAGAGGAAGAGGTATGGTGCGGTGAAGGAGTCTCGTCAGAAAAAGATATGCACGGACAAAAATCTTTTGTTATTGAAAACTCATATCCATAAACAAAGGCATTTGATCAAATCGCTCATACATATTGTCTTGGATTAAATGAGAGATTTGGATCCAAATCCCTCCATAGTACATTCATCAGCCAAACCATCCTATGGGACACTAAGTTGTATTTGTTAGGGATGGGGGCAATGGTTGAAACCAGGAACAACCAGTTACACAGATACTGACGTCGATCGGAGCCAAGAACGAAACTCGAACACCAAGCATTCAAAATAAAACAAAATGAGAGTTTTTTTAGCCACGAAATGAGCTACCTCACATCAATTCTTTAGAATATATGATAACTATACATAAAATATTTTATGTTCATAAATGAGATTTTGATGTTAGATTATGCAATAAACTACACACAATAGTTATCGATTCTCTTGATTTTTGTAGCTGAATTTGATATTTAATTAGTATATTGTTAGCATTGTTATAACTTATAAGAACCAAAGCATATAAGTGGCTCAATTAGTAGAACCACCAAAACAGTTGAAATGTCGTTTCGATTTATTTGCTTGACAGTTAAGGATGGACCGAACTTTTTTAGCTATTTCACATAAAGCCATATGAACCACCTTGGTTTGATTGGTTCAGTGGTTCACTATTTTAACCACCAAAAATTAAAAATTAAAAATGTCTTATCATAAGCTAATTGAAGAATTTGATGATGCGGAAGAACGAAAGAACACGAGACAAGAGATTTTATGTGGCATCCTCGATCGATTGATTGGTCGAGACTAATCCACGGTGAGTTTGGAAGAGCTCACGGCTGACGTTTTATTGAACGACTACATTGTGACAGCTTGCTTACGACAGGTTCGTAGCTAAGTCTTATATAGAGATAGACTAGGGTTAAAACCCTAACGAGAAGAGTCACGACCAAGTATCCATACCTACTACAACTCGGACAAGGCCCAACAAGGCCCAATACTAACACGGTTTAAGTAACTGCAACACTCCCCCTCAAGCGAAGACATGAATGACAAGAATGTCGAGTTTGAAGAAGTAAATGTGAAGAACAAGCATGATGGCTTGAACCACAAAACTCGAGATGAATAACATCTCGGACGAGGTTGATTAACAACCTGATGATGAAGACGATTGACTGCGTCTCTTGAACTCGAACATGCATGATGGCTTGAACCACAAAACTCGAGATGAATAACATCTCGGACGAGGTTGATTGGAGACGACTGACTCTCTCTAAACAACCTGATGATGGAGACGATTGACTGCTTCTCTTGAACTTTAACGCTCTGTTTGGATAGAGGCGTAAATGTTGGGGGGCGTAAATCCCAGGGGTAAATACCCTTCCCGATAAGTTTGCACCTGTTTGGGAAGTTTTTGAACAGTAGGGGGGCGGATGAATAGAGGTGTAATTCTACTGTTCTAGTGTACCCCCCAAATTGAGGCGGAAGTGGAGAGAGAAAAAGCTGAACGATTTCTCCTTTTTTCCTGAATTTTTTTATCTCTTTCCTCCGTCAAATCTGCCCGTGAATTCGCCTCCGCTGGCGTGAGAAAGAAGCCCACACCGCCGCCGGTAACACCTAAAAAACAGAATCCATAACCCAGAATCAAGAAAAGTCGTCAATATATACCCAAAAATCATAGAATTAACCCAAAAGAAACATGCATGCCCAAAGCGTTACCTAATCTAGAATTCAGATCCCCTCTCTCCTTTCGTCGGCGGCTTCTGATCTCCCGCCCTCATCATCGTCGCTATTCCGATCTCCCCCGGAGAAAAATCGTCGGAGTTGTGGGAAGATCGACGGTAGCGGCCGGAGAGCTTGAGGGATTGGATTGGTGAGATAGATTAGAGAGGAAGAGAGAGTGTCGGAGAAATCAGAGAAGGGAGATGGAAGGCTGAAAGACAAAGGAAGAAGATACGTTGTAGATTTGGTCGTCTAATTAGTTTTGTCAAAAAGGAAATTAGTGAGAGAGAGAGAAGGAATAATGGAATGGGGAGGAAAGGTTGAACGCGGAGAGTGTATGAGATTAACGTTGGGGAAGATTAAAAAAATAATTACTTTTTGATTTTTGTATTAATTTACTAATAAAATATTATTAATTAAACAAACCCCACCAATTTGCACCCTCCTACTTTTTTTCCCAAACAATCATTTGCACCCCAATTTACACCCTTCTCAAATTTGCTCCCCCCTACAATTTGTACCTCAATTTGCGCCCCCCTCGAATTTACACCCCCCTTGTTGCCAAACATAGCGTAACACACTTGGTACATCTCAGTCGACCTGATGACTGAGTTAGTCGACTGACATATGTTGACCTTCTACTCTCCCCCTCAAGCTGGAGCATGAACATAGTGAATGCCCAGGTTGAAAAGTGATGAATGGTTGATATGTGCCCAATAATGAACCGGAAGAGGAGATGACCATTTCTTGGATCGTGAATGCCAATTGGACGATGACTTCTCTTCTCGTACTACCTTTTGAACGCTTGGGGACGACCATTTTATGGAACATGAATGCCTCAATCGATACTTGACTATATTTTATGGTGAAAGCCTACAAAATGAAAGTTGGTCCAAAATCTAATTGAAGCCCCATCAAAAAACTCTTACCAAAACATATGTGGGAGCCCATAAGGGCCAATTCGGCTACACTTGAAGTGTCGTTGAAAAGTGATTTGACAAGGCCCATGTAATTGATGGCAGCCCAAAAGAGGAACCCTTCTGCCTCTTGGTTACCCCATATCTCACTAGTGCCCCACCGTATCACCCGCAACACTCTTCTCTGGCGGCGGAGATTGTACTGTCGGTGATGACTGGAACTATCTTGGTGAAGATGATGATAGCACGACGGTCATTGACGGCGGGAACGACACTTTGAAGAAAGCAGACGCAACGGTGGGAAGGACTTCGCCGTTGCTCTTTCACAAAACGGAGGCATGGCAGGTGGATGCTCTGCGGTTGACGACGACAATAACAGCATCGGCGGTGTAAGGAAGATGCGAGACACAAAACTTCTGTGAAGCAAATTGGAGCAGCGTTCTAAGGGTGAACATGGGTCGGCTGGGTCGGTTTTGGACTACTTTGATCACCCAATCCATATATGTCGGTTTCAATAAATCTAAACCCACACCCACCCGTAAAATTTGAGACCCTGTTAGTTTGATGTCCATTGGGTCGGGTTGTTTAGGTAATCAACCCGCTACAATCCGAACTGCAATAACTCATTAGAATTAACAGATTTTCTAGAAAGATATGCGGCAATTTGGGCAGAGCGGTGGCAGATCTAAAGTTCGCAGCGAGATTCCAACCTGAAAGGAGATGAAGCTTTGAAAAAGAGGCCAACGACAAGGAGGCTAATGGCGACTCAAGCCTCCATCACACGAGAATCCTAAAATTACAAACCAAGTAGTAAATATCATAGGCTTGAAATCCAAAGCACAAAGAACCAAACCTCCTGCATCTTGAGCTCCAAAAGCAAAAAGAGAAGAACCCAAAAAGGAAAGTAGCAAAAACAGAGCCTTGCCTCTGGATCTCCTAAAGCAAAAACAAAGCCCAGAAAGCATATAAAGAATTCAATGAGTTGCATGGGTGGTATCACCTTAGTGATTTTTTACTGGATAGGGGGATGAGAGGTAGATAATTAGGGGAAGATCTATAAAGATGAATGCGAAGGAAAATCCAAGAACCATCACCAAGAAGGATGCGAATATGTGGTTGGTGACAACCCACTTTGTTCACGAGATCGCCTGGGGGAGAATACGAATCAGGTGAATTCTAGTAGAGCTTGGGGGATCGAAGGCACTAAATCAGTAAATGATCGATAAAGATGGCCGAGGATGGGGAATGAATCGGCGGCGAATGATAAATATGGAAGAGTTGGAAAACCCTAGAGATTTTGGAAGTTTTTATCCATACATAATCCCCAGGTCGGTAGGTCGCGTGGGTTGGGTTTCGGGTCCTTTTGTTCACCCCTACAACATGCTACGGAAAGCTCCTTGACTTGATGAAATTGACGTTGATGTCCAAAGTCCAAACTTAATTGAAATCCATGACCATATAATTCCTTTGGCAGAACAAACTCTAACCGACTGGTTTTCCAAGCTTCCCAACGATGTGATTGGTGATTGGTGATGGGGACGAAACGGACTGACGGAATAGGAGCTGGAAATTGACGATGATGGGACTGAATCTCTCTCCCAATTGTGACGATGACAAGATAACCTCGTCGTCGTTAACCAAACGGACTATCACCAACTGCTGGATTGAAGAATACGCTAGAGAACCAGCATAGTCGCTGACCAAGCATCTCGGACTAGGGCTATGGAGAAGGGCGAGGTAGCTGGGTTAGCGACGAGATCGGCAACAGATTTAGGCCTCTTGAGCGTGGCCATTTTTTATGTAGTCCACGCCAAATATAGGACATCAAAGGCGGACGACGCCAACATGACGAATGCAGATCCGACTGAAATCTGTAGCTTTTACGGGATGCAACGACGACCTGAAGAGAGAGAGAGAGAGAGAGAGACCGCGAACGACTGAAGATGGGGTTGATGAAGGATGCGGCGTGGGGCAGGAGCAGCGGTGATCGCGAACTAGCGTGGCCGCTGAGCGAGGCGACATCTGAAAAGGAAGCTACAAGTTGCGATGAGCCTGGACTGGGGATGGAGAAGCGTTCGCCCCGGAACGGGAACGCCGCACAGACAACCCTTAATTGTTGATGTTGACGAGACAGAGGACGCAGACAGACGAAAGCTCAAACCCCTAATCAAGGATCGAGTTTTGCTCTAATACCATATCATAAACCAGTTGGTCCCAATAACTCGAGTTGTTAGGAGAAGGTTATGCTAGATCTTATACAGTCCCATGTATGGTACTTAATCACTTCCTTACACTAATAACATCCAATATCAATTACAAATTTTATTTATCCTTCCTTTTCTTTGTTTCCTATCCTCTTTGTATGCTTTATGTGGTTCACTACGAATTATCACCCTGATTACTAACTTGAATTTTGATAATAAAAAAATATGTTTTTTTTTTGTGATATTATGATTTGTTAGGTATGAATTTGAAATTACTTATGGTTAGTTATAAATTCTGTCCTGAATTAGTCTATTATATGTATCTCTATGTTATAACGCATGGGTGTTCAATCAACGATTGTGTAACAATTAACGGTTGAACCATTATCCACTTTTTATCTAACTTGTAACCCAATTCTAGAAACCGAGCTTGTAAACTTTTATGGTACATAAATATTTTATTATTATAAAAAATTTTCAATCCAACAAAATGGTCAAACTCACCCATCATCTACTGTCACCATC